CCTCTGCAGATATGGGGTTCAGTATCATCAGTATGATACCTAATCGTACTCATCAACCACAGCCCAGCCAAGGAGGCTGACAAGTTTCTGTCCCTTGATTGGAGGCTATGCAGTCCTTTAGGGAGAAAGAACAAAACTGAGTAACTGTGTATATTAGGACTACTTTGATGTGACAAAATTCCATATTTAACCTTGGATGGGGTAGTACTTCCCCATTCAAGAGTGGTGTGCAATCTGGGAGTCTTCCTGAATGGCTCCTGTAGTAGTAGCGGTAGCTAGGGAGGCCTTTGCTTATTTATTGATTAAATTTGTTTGCCACTCATTTCACTGTGAGGCAACTCTGGGTGGCTTACAATGTTAAAGGCAGGAAAACCATCTATACCTACATTTGTATCTATATACAGGTAGTCCTCAACTTACGACCAAAACTGAGCCCAACATTTCTGTTGCTAAATGAGATAGCTGTTAAGCCAGTTTTGCCCCATTTTATGATCTAACAGTTGTTAAGTCAATCTGGCTTCCCCATTGACTTTGCTTGTCAGAAGGTCACGAAAAGGGATTACACGACCCTGGGACACAGCAACTGTCATAAATATGAACCAATTGACAAGTGTCTGAATTTTGATCATGTGGCCATAGGAATGCTGCAATGGTCCTAAGTAAGACAAACAGCCATAAATCACTTTTTTCAGTGACAATGTAACTTCGAACGATTACTAAAACAATTGTTCTAAGTTGAGGAATGAATATACCGTATATGGATGTGCATGGGGTCCATCAACCACCTCCAGTATGACATTCCTTCAATGGGGCCAGATCTTCAGGCTCTTATGGAAGGCTATGGGGAGGCAAGATGCTCCAAAATGCCAGCACCAAAATAAAGAAAGCCTTTCTCCTGGATCCCACCTGCTGGAATTTCTTGACAGAGAGGATCTGCAGCATTCCTCCCCTGCTAGCATGGGGGGGGAGCAGGTTTGTCTCATTGGGGTGAGACAGTTCCTCAAGTAATCTGGACCCGTGCTATGCAGGGCTTTAAAGGCAATAACCAACACCTTCAATTGCACTTGGAAGCAAACTGGCACCCTATGTAGTTGAACAGCAATGTAATATGGACCACTATAGGACACCCCCAAGACTGCCCACACTGCCACACTCTGCACCAATTGAAGCTTCTGAATGCTCTTCAAGGGTAGCCTCATGTAGAGTACATTGCAGTAGTCCAAGTTGTCAATGCTGCTAACATTGGATGTTCTTCCTTTGACAACAGATGAAAATGCAGCCATTTTCTCTATGCTTTTAGAATCAGTTGGTGCTGGGAGGGGGGATTGGGATGAGAGTTCAGTTAGCCATAATAATAATAACTCTGCTGTGGGAATCCAAGGACAAACTGGGTCCAGAGCTAACAACGTTTGGCGGGCTGGAGAGCTGGGGAGAAAGCCCGCGCTTCAGGCTAATTGGGGAATGTGATTTATGACTGTTTATTGGGTGTGGGAATTGTACTTTGTTACTTTGTATCCAGGGGAAGGGAATTTAGTTTTTGGGTTCAACTATGTAGTGGCGATACTTTGTTTCCTGAATAAAAGATTCTTTAAGGAAAACAATGCCTTGAAGTTTTTTTGAAGGGTTTCATCTGTCGGAACCATGACAGAAGTGTGAGATGACCACAGCTTGAATGGTTGAACTCAGAAAGTTCTGATCCAGGAAGGGCTGCAACTGGCAGACAACACAAATTTGTACAAAGGCTCTCCTAGCTTCGACTGCCACTTGCTCTTCAACAGGAGTCATGAGTCCAGGAGAATCTCCAAGTTGTGAACCAGGTCTGCCTGGGGTAGTGCCACTCCCATCCAGAACTAATGATACCAGAATCCCGGATCTTGAAGCTCCATGCACCCAAAGTCATTTGGTCTTACCAGGGCTCAGCCAAAGCCTCTTGTCCCCCACTGCCTCCAGGCACCGTGAAAAGGCAGCAATAGCATCACTTGGGTCACCAGAGTTGGAGATATAGAGTTGAGTATCATCACCATATTGATGATACCTCAATCCATGGTGACAGATGATCTCACCCAGTGGCTTCATATAAATGTTAAAAAGGAGTGGAGAGCATACTGAACTTGCAGCATACCACAAAAGACCAGCTGTGGGCTGGATCTCTCACTCCCTATTAAAACCGTTTGGGACAGGTCTTGGAGAAAAGAATCAAACCAGTGCAAAATTGTGTTGCCCAGCCCAACATCTCACAGCTGGCCCAAAAGGATACCATGGTTAATGGTACTGAATGATGCTGAGAGATCAAGGAAATGGTTTCACTACTCCCATCCTGCTCTCACCAGAGATCATCCACAAGTGCGACCAATGCTTTTTCTGTCCCATAACTGGGCCTGAAAGAGGAAGATGAGAAACTGGACAAAAACATTTTTATGCCATTGTGCCCTTTACTGGACTGGGAAGCCCTTCAGACAATCACTATAAAGCCTGCAGGGCAGTGCAGGCCACCTCCAGAGGCTGCTTCAAGGTGAGTGAGAGAGAGAGAAGCTGATGGTTGAGGCCCTGGCCATCCTCCACCCCTGCCCGCCCACCAGATTCCCCGATCCAGAACAGGCTTAGAAAAGAGGCAGCCTCTATTTGCCTCTGCCCCCGGCTCTCTTAACATTCAGGCTACCTTGTAGTGGCAGCACCAGCAGCAGGCGGAGGTGAGGGAGGGGAGACACATGCGAGCCGGCCTGCCAAAAAACAGATGGTGGAATAGAGTGAGTAGGCTCTGAACTAGGGATTATTTGGGGGCTAGGGCTTATATTAGGCCCACCCCAAAAAATCAGGCTAGGGCTTATTTTCTGGGTGGTTCTTATTTTGGGAAAAACACGGGTACAACAAATATGCAGTTAGAGGATAACCAGCAGTTAGGTGAATGGAGTTGATTACCACAGTGATGGGTGCACCATTTGAAGACCTGAAGGGTCAGGCTAAGGGCAGTTCATTGTAGAGCACTGGGGACAGATCAATCTACCGATGTGGTTACTAAGAGTCTACATCAATTCATCTCACTGACAAGTTTGGACATCTCAGTCACTGAAAATGAATAACCGAAGACTTGTCCCCTCCCTCTCCTAACAAAAAGTATTATTTCGTGATAGCCGAAAATCTCTTCTGAGCTCTTGGAATATTGATTTGGAAAAATATCACTCACCAAATTGTGATTAAAAACAGATTCACTGGAACCAGAGTCTGCTCTAAGTTTGAAAGAATTTCTAGCTGGACTTCACTGAAACAATGATTAGCCTTGTAGAGACAAGGTATTAAGGCCAAGCTAAGCCCGTTGCCATGAGAAATTTTGTTTGTATATAGGAAGTAGAAAAGGACAAACCAAACCACCATCAAAATCAGGGCATTGATTCAGAATCAACAGAAATCTGAACGTTAAAAGTTATGAATACAGCATATAGAATACAGTATGTGTCTTGTGAAATGAATTTTCTCTGCCCTTCACCCTATGTAGCTACCATAACTTTTTGTTGACATGTACATTAATCTTCCTCCTCTTCCTCCTCCTCCTCCTCCTCCTCCTCCTCCTCCTCTAGTGTTAGTAATGGTGACAGAAACAAGTTTCCAAAAGTTAACAAAAAGGGTTACTGTAAATACCCCATAGTATTAAATTTGTAACAGAAATTGACTTTGGAAGACATTTTGTGAGATTGTTTTAAAATGAGTAGGTTTGTTTATAATGTACTCTGCAAATTCCACAGTGTTCCTTTCAAATAGGATGTTACGTTCAGCAAAACTACAGTCTAATTAATGCTGGTGGTATTGTGGCACATTTCTCTATTTAGGAAAAAAGGAAATGTAACTTTCAAATTAAAGTAGAATCTTTTGTTTCATGACTATTATAATTACACTGTATATGAGGATTAGAAAGAATAATGTGCCTGTGCTAAAAAAAAATGCTTGAAAAAATATCTTTGAATTTTATAGAGAGTGAACACCTTTACAGGCAAATATTTTCTTCCTGTTTCTGCCCAGTATTTGTGTGTGGGGGGGTATATAAAATATTGGAGAGAGAGAGAGAGAAATGTGTTTGTGTATGTGTGTGCGTGCATTCTGAAACTTTTAATTTTATTGTAATGTTATTTGCTTGTTCTTCTATTTTATTTTAAATGTGTTTTACACATTTGATTGATTGCTTAATTACGGTATGTGCCATCAGGTTAGTGTTGACTCTTAGCAACCACATAGATAGATTTCTCCATGACCATCTGTCCCTAACCTGGTCTTTCAGGTCTCAAAACTGTGCACTCATTGTCACTGTAACTGAGTCCATTCACCTCACTGCTGGTCTTCCTCTTCTTCTTTCCCAGTATTAAGCCTTCTTCAGAAAATTAGGCATAATGTGTCACACATAGTATTGCATTTATTAGCTTCTTATGCTATGCTTGTTTTGGGCAAGTAAAATAAATACAACAAAGTGATTATATGCCCTCCTGTACTAATTTCTTCTAAGGAGGAATTTTATCTCATTATTTGGGAACAATATGTTGTAAATACATGTACATTTTCACATAAAAAGATTCAAGTCATGAAGATGGCTTTGGGCAAACACTATTGAAAATGATATACCAACAATTTTCTCCATAGCACAAATTAAAGCTCTGGGGACCAAAATCAAAACATTTCCTTTAAGCTCTGATCCCTGTTTGCGTCAGTTCCTGCTTCCCCAAAGACCGTAAGACATCATGATGGGTTTTCTGTAATCTCATAATCCTAATGTATAATGAGAATGTTTCATGATGCGTTTCATTGTGTTTCTTTTTCAGTTTCAGTACAATTAACTGGAAATTTGTGGAAAAGGTTATTTCCAGGAATATTAATTATAACAAGTATTGTAATATAAGTAAGTATATAAAGGTCTCTCCAAGCATAAAGATGGATGCTCTGTGCATTTTTCAGACACACTTAGTTCCCTTTCCTCCTAGAAGTACCACTATAAAATTAGACTATGAAATAGTTAATTGTTTAAAATATTTTAATGCCTAATTAATCAGAAGCAGCACAGACAGGCCCAATCACAATTATTCTTTATGAACTAACTACTAAAAAGCTGCTGAAAAAATTCTGCCCAGTAACTCTGCAATTCTTTCAAACTACACGAACTGCAATGGGCCAAAAAAAAAAAAAAATATTACTAGCAGACAGCACTCCTGAACATGCATAAAATCCTGCCCCCCTTGTAAATGTGACCTTTTGATCAGTGAGCGGGAGTCTTTTCACAAAATTAACTGGCATCAACTGGTTGATGTAGAAAGTCCAGAGAAATTTTCTTTTGACAACTGCTGAAAAAAACAACAATCATCTATGTCTTCCAAAACTGGCTTTGGTGATTCTAAAGGTCTAATAGGGGCATCAACTCAAGCCAGTTTGGTCTGATGGTTAAGGCACCAGCCTAGAAAGCAGGAGACTGGGAGTCCTTGTCCTGCCTTAGCCATGAAAGCCAGGTGGGTAGCAGCCTTGGGCCAATCACTCTCTCTAGTGGCATTCTTCTAGATTGTCTAAAAGGGATGTGGTTGAGTTGGCACTTTTTTACACTCGTATCTGGACAAACCACTTCAGTCAATGGTGCTGGAGAAGTCGTCAATCCACTGGCCACTTCTTTATGGAGTGTCACAAATCCCAGATCTCTCTCCAGATTTTCAATATCTAGCTCTATGAAACTTCTGAGGAAGTTATCTAACAGTTTGGGGAGAGGTATCATCAAAGTGTTGATTATATCCACACGTACATCTTCACCTCCAGTCAAGATGGTGGTGCACTGGAAGTCCTTACCCAGATCCTGGAGTTTGGAAGGATCTGAAAGAGAATAAAAAACTGAAATCATACAAGATATAAGTATTATTTATCCACAATCTGCCTAGCCTATTGTCAGTTTCTATATTAGCTGTAGATTGCACTTCCATGAAAGAGTTCAAAAATCTATGACCAGGTACCTTTTGTCCAGTTATAGCTGTGCACCAGTTGCTGCCTTTTTGGGAGCAAAATGTCTTGGTAAGAAAACCCAGGCCCTCGTCAACCTTAGGCTGAATTACTTCAGTGCATTTTATACAGACCTATTTTTGAAGATTAACCAGAAGATGGCATTGTGTAATTCCAGTCAAATAAGTGGCTGTTGTGGCTTTAACTGACCATTAGATTTAGTATGATGTCCCACTTGGCTTAGCACTTATATGAATCCACTAGTGAGGATTTGTAATGATCTGAAAGAAGGCAATTAGTATGTTAATGGCAGACAGATTGGGTTAGGGTGAAACAGATGAAGTGGTATTGCTATCCCTTCTCTAAGAACTTTATTGAAATGTTTGCTAGATGGAGCTGATGCAAAATGTTTGCTAGATGGAGTGTTGCAAAAAGGAACAGTTCTCACCTTTAAATGTCTTCTGGACATAGTTCTATATACTCTGAGATGGGGGGGATTCCAAAATTATTTTGTTCTGCACCAGGTTCATATCACCAATCACCCCAATGAAATTATCTTCAACCATTATCAAACAGTGAGGACTTTGATCTCTGCCATAGCATCTTTTGGGGTATTTGTGTATCCATGTATCCCAAACAAATAATCCAAACGAATATCTTTGTGCTCACTTTGCTAATACTGTAATTAGAGAGAGTTCTAGGAAGGGGTTAAATAGGCTAGTAGCTAAAGATGATATAATGGACTACATAGTTCCAGCGGCTGTTAAAGATGGATTACAGTTAAAATAGCAGAGATGGATTTAGACAGCAACTGGCTGTTGAAGTTGAGTTGTTGGGTTTAGTATAGCACAGTATAAGATGGATTTATTCATGGGGAAATGGGAAGATTCCTCTCTCCCCCCCTCCCCATTGAACACTATCCAAAGAAGCATCCTGAAGTAGAAAATTGATGACACTATCCAAAGAAGTATCCTGAAGTAGAAAATTGAACATGATCTGTTCAATCATGTCTGATGCTTGGCGATTCTATGGATAAGCTTTCTCCATATTTTCTGATCTCATACAGCCTTTTTCAGATATTTTATATTCTGGCTGGTGTTGGTTTTATGATCTAGCCATGATGGTTTTGGCAATCTCATTTACTTTTACGGGTGATCATTCCAAGCCTTTTCCAGTTAGTTTGATTGCATGACATGGCCAAAATAAGTAAGGCTGAATTTTTGTGATTTGTCTTCCAGCAATATGTCTGATTTTATATGCTTCAGTACCTGCTTCTTTGTCATCTTTGCTATCCAAGAATTGCACAAGAGCAATTCTGAGCAAACACCACAGCTGAAATGGTTTTCTCTTGTCTAGTTTTTTCATTGTTCAATTTTCACAACTCTAGGTAGATATGGGAAATCCAATCATGCAGACTAATTGGGTTGTCAGGCTAATGTCCTTACTTTTCCATTCTCAATTTATGCTCATCATTGCTGTACAACAATTTGATGATTTATTTCTGGACTACATTCATTACTTTGATCAATGATTGATCATAGGAGAGTTAATTCTTGCAAACATTTAATCTCTACACCATAAATTGTTATTTTGACATTTCCATTCTGCACAGCAGTCATGAGATTGGTCTTTTTTCATGTTCAAGAAGAGGCCAAATTTCTCACTTTCTTATTTAATCCTTTTGATCAGATGTTTCAGGTCATCTTTGATTTCTGAGATAAAAGTTATGTTGTCAGAATATTAAAGATTGTTGATGTTCCTTCCTCCAATCTTTACTTCAGTTTTTAATTTTATTCCTCATAATCACTTTGACATACATGTTGAATAAGAAAGGTGAAACAATGCAATCTTCCTGCACATCTTTCCCAATTTTTAACCAATCAGTGTCTCTATATGATGTTCTTACAGAAGCTTTCTAATTTGTGTACAGCAACTTCACTAAATTGACTGCATATGTTGGTGCCTTTCTGTAGACAATAAAGATGTAAATATATATACAGTATGTATGCATATGTTTGTGTATATACTGTACATTTATACATCTACATATCTATATATCTATCTATATCTATCTCTATATCTATCTAGGGAAGATAGGGAGATTCAGGATTGTTAGAGACCGGCTATAGACAATTAACATTCAGTCTGGTTGATGAAGGGATGCTAGACAGTACAGCCTTAAGTCTATTCTTAACTTTGGCAAGGTGGACAAGTGTATGCACGTGAGATGCAGACATGGCTTAAGTTAATACTATAACTTCTAAGAGATTCCTGCTTAAATGGCTTTGAACTAGAAATTAGGCTGTTGTGGGGGAGGGGAAATGCTCACTCTGCATGTTTATTTCTGGTGTCTAGCCCTGTCGGTCTGGAGGAAGGAATGTCTCACTAAAATGCAAAACAAATAATTAGAAAAACAAAACTGAATAAATTTGGAACATCATTTGATGGCTGTGGCTGGGAGGACCTTTGCACAAGTTCGTCTATTGCACCAGTTGCAACCCTACCTGGACCGGGAGGCTCTCCTTACAGTCACTCATGCCCTTGTCACCTCACGTCTGGACTACTGCAACGCGCTCTACATGGGGCTACCCTTGAAAAGTATTCGGAGACTACAGTTGGTCCAGAATGCAGCCGCGCGAGTGATAGTGGGTGCTCCTCGATACACCCATGTTACACCTATCCTCCGTGAGCTGCACTGGTTGCTTATTGGTCTCCGGGTCCAATTCAAGGTGTTGGTTATTACCTTTAAAGCCCTACATGGCTCAGGGCCAGGCTATTTGCGAGACTGCCTACTACCTCATAGTTCCCTTCATCCGGTTAGATCCCACAGGCTGGGCCTCCTTCAGGTCCCGTCGGCCAAGCAGTGCCATTTGGCGGGGCCACGGAGGAGGGCTTTCTCTGTGACGGTGCCCATGTCTTGGAACCAGCTCCCCCCGGAGATTAGGACCGCTCCCACCCTGTTGGTTTTCCGTAAGCTGCTTAAGACCTGGCTTTTCCGGCAGGCCTGGGATTTATAAAATCTGACCCCTGGATGACTGTAATTGTACTGTTTGTTTGTCATGTTTTATGTTGTTTTTATTGTTAACTGCCCAGAGTCCTACGGGAGTGGGGCGGTTTATAAATTTTAAAAATAAAATAAAATAAAATAAATAAATATGTACCTTACTGTCTTTTAAATTAATAAAATTAGGAAAAAATTATGCATATGCAGATAGATAGATAGATAGATAGATAGATAGATAGATAGATACACAGAGAGATAGAGAGATAGAGATGTATAGATATAAATATAGAAATAGAGATATATAGATATAGATGAATGATTCTTTCTTTTCTTTTTCAATCAAATCCTGAAATACATTTAGAAGTCTCCACTTGCATTGTAGTGGCAGTGATAGGAACTGGGTTCAAGCACAGTTCACATGTCTAGTTAGCATCCAATTATTTTTACCCACCCTAGAGTAGGAGAGACCCCCATACTCACACTAGGAGATGGGCAGAAGCCTTGAGTACCTCTACAAACATGACTGAGGAACAACCCAATTCTGAAGAAAAAAAATCTTATACAGTGCTTAGGGAGATGGGTATCCTTTTGTTCCAACTCAGAAGAGGGAGATGGGAATTGGAGAGTTGTAATCTTGGTGATAAACTAAAGAGATTAAGCCTCATTCTAAAGGGGGGGCAGAGAGAGAGAAGAAAATCCCATAGGTACTTCTTATCACCTTTTCCTGAAGAGGAAGGGAATTAGAGATGGCTGGCAGGGAAGCTGATTACTGAGCATAAAGAAGACAGAGAAGCTTTGCTTCAAACTTTAAATCATGGGGTATAGTTAATGTCCCATACCAGATAAAAATCCACCATTTAAAGAGTGAAGAGATTGAAATGTTTTTCTGGGCTGTGGAAGAACAGCCTGAGCTTCTGAATGACCAGAAGAATAGTGGGTCACAAAGCTCGCCCCAGCCCTCAGTAGAAAAAGATTAAGAGAGTAGCAGCCTTTCAATAGCAGATGCAGAAGATTATAACACTCTAAAGCAAGTAATTCTGCAGCAAGGTGATGTAATTCGGTGTAGGTATTGGCAGAAGTTCAAAGGTATTATAAAATTATAGGATAGATTGTTGGGATTATGTGTTCAATAGCCACAACTAAAGTTTGAACTTCTGAAGAAATATTGGAGGAGATTGTTTTGAAATAGTTCTTGCAAAATTTTTGGGTTTAGTTAGGTTCTGAGCTCAAGAACACTATCCTTGGTAAAAAGCAAAAGATGTATAGACACAGAAAACTCAGTGTGTCTCTATTATTTTTAGTAAACATTTCTCTCTCACACACTGCTTATTTTTTTCTTATTTTTTTTTTAGCATTTATAGATAATAATATAGTGGAGATTTTGGCACTAAGCTCAAAGATCTGTATTCTTTTTCAGACCACAAAATAACTCAATGAACTTTGTTTGATATGATCAATATTTTATTAATATTATACTGAGAATTTATTATATAATTGTAGTAACTTTCTTTCCCACTTACTGATGTTTCATCTTTTGAAATTAAACAAGTAACTTAAAAGGGGAAGAAAAGGAACCCACTAACACAGACATGTTAAACACAAGGCCCGGAGGCCAGATGCGGCCCGTGATGTGGTTTCATGTGGCCCATGAAGCCATCCTGGAAACAGTGAGGGAATGGCCCCCGCTGCCTTGGCCCCGGCCCAGGCTGGCCAGGAGCCAATGTACAATTTTGTGGTGGCCTTCTATGCTGAAATGCATTCAGTCTTAGCTCCACAAGGCTATCTGGAAACAGTGAGGAACCAGCCCCTGTCACATTGGCCCCATCCCCTGGGTGCATGCTGGGGAGGTGTCACCCTTTGTGAGGAATGAAGA